ACACCGTTTGTTCCTTCTCTTCAATTATTCTCGCGTTTACGGCTCATATGATGCATTGTATACCGCGTTAACGCGCTGTTGTAAGATTCCCTGGCGCGATTTCCGTCATTGTCGTCGTCGTCGTCCTCGTCGATCGAAACGCTCGCACGTGCTGCTATTCGACGTCCGTTCTAATCGCCGTCGCAGCAGCTAGCCTCGTTTCCGGTGACTCTTGACCCGAAAACACTCGTTTCATTATGCCGGAGCAACGCGGCGTGTAATACCGGGAATTCAGTCTAGTCATCTACGCATTTATCGCCGGCTGATTTTTGCCCCGGGGAGAACAGAATCCTCGTCTAGCGTCGTTTCTGTCCCAATGGCCCGGAGAGAATCGTTCTCTCTCTCTATCTCGGAGTGGTTTTCGTATTACCGCATGGAAAAAAAATGTAGCTCTCACAGCTAAAAATTGTTTTCTTCTCTTCGTTAACGATCATCTTTTGAAGTAAAAAATTTTGTATTTCGAAATAGGGAAAATGAAAAAGATAAAATAAAACAGAAAAATTAAAACACTGATATTAAAGAAACGTGATACGATGTGTATGATGTTGAAGAAATGCTGGAACAATGTGATTATTCAGAATCACACTTGCACAGATGCCCCTACGTCGACGATTATTTAGCGTCATTTGCCGCTTCGGAATTGAATCGGGTCTCTGTACGGATGATTTGCTTCTCTCTTTCAATAGCGCTCTTCGGGAGTAGCCCGAGCTATACTTATGCGGGCTTAACTCTTCTATATCCGGAGATCGCGCCGCGTCACTTATTTACCCGAGTTATTTTGAGACGCCCCGAGTTACAGCGGATTCGTCACGACCGACAGTTTTTCGTGCAACATTTTACCAGAGCGAAGATCCGTATCGCTGTCACGCTAAAAGCGAAAGCGCGCCGCAACGAAGCGAGACCAATGATCGTCGCGACGTGCCGCTCGCCGTCGCTCCGAGTGTACTTCAACGAGCTTGACAATCGCATCTACTGGGCGTAGCAGAAGCCGCGCGCGCTTTCTCCGCTTCGGTTAGCAATCCGAGTGGCGAATTTGATTCACTAATCCACGATTCACTGTCCCGCGCCGATATTCAGCGAGTACGAAACTCGACGGGACACTGATTGATCGCGAATGTGCACGCTTTTACCTGCCGCAATTTTATCTTAAAAATTATTATTTTTTTTTTAGAAAACAAATAGAAACAACGGAATAAGAGTCAAGTTGCATGTCTGGTTTGCAAATATTTACAATATATTTAGAGAAAAATGATTTAAAGCAAGATAGCAAATTTTATATACTGTCGTAGCAATTAAATAAAAATATATAGGGTATTTCTTAAATATTGTTCAGTATTTTAATTGATTGAGTTGATTCTTTAGATCATTTTATGAAGCAACATCGTTTCTTGCACGAGCCCGAATAAAGCACTAAGAACAATGCCCCCATTTTAACGCTAAGGCCATTTAAGATCGGACTATAAAATTATTCGAAGAGACAAAAAGAAATCTCCGGGCCGATTATTCGCGAGAAAGACCGACTCGAGTGGAGATCCGAGTTGGTGAACTCTCGCGGACGGTGGACGCGAAATGTTGCATTCTAATCGATAAGCGGGATCGTCTCGGCGGGGCAGTGCAATGAACCGTAACAAACGGATCGTTTCGCAATCGAGGTGTTGGAGCATTCCGGCAACGTATAACGTAACCGTCTATCTGGGACAAACGTAACCGAAGAAATTCTCACGACGTCGGCTGGTTCTACCGTGTGTATGACAGCCGGCGACAAATTGTCTCGATTGTCCGGGAATGAGATTGTGGTATCGATCGTTGAAAGAAGTCGCCAAGTCAATCAATCATCCGTCTTATTCAATTACTTCCTTCCTTCGGGCAAAATATAATAGATGGAGGTGAGAGCAGTGAGAAGAAGTTGCCGATAAGAAGCTCTTTCTGTACGGAGATCAACGCTCTTCTCGTACACGCGACTTGAACTCGCTGTATTACGCTTCGCTTTATATCCAGCGGTGCGCCGACGAGATGTCGATAACTTGACCATTAAAAGGCACTTTTCGTCACGTCATTCAGAGTTATCGGTTATGTAATTCCGCGAGGATTACCGGCGGGACTTGCTGCTCCTGCTGCCCCTCTTGTTTGCTCTCTTAAGTGCACTCAAAGTGGATTTAAAGCAACTGTCACTCCGCGCTGCTTTCAGTATCGCCGAGCGGCGAAGTTGTCGAGCCACGTCGAAATGCGGCAGAGAGGACGGGCTAGCCGTGAATACAAAGGCCGTTTTACCTGCGAATTTTTTTCCGTCGAAAAATTGCACAGTCTCTCTTTCTGTCTCATTGATAACGACGAGCCATTAGTATCGATTGCGATTTGTCGAGCAAATTCAATTTTGTGTTGATTCAACTCGGTAAAAATCATCGGCTTGACTAACATATTAGGTGTATGTAAAAGTTTTAATTTTGATTGTATGAAAGTAAAACGAAAAAGATTAAAGCTTTCGCACGCGTAATAAATTTCTTCCAAGTATATCAAGTATCCTAAATAAATATGTTTTTAAATAAGTATTTATTTATTTTTTTAATAAAATTTATATTTTTAGTCACATTTTGAATAAAATTTAAATAAAATCAACGCTCTAAAATATTTATTGTCTATACTTTTCTCTGAATATTAAATTTTCTCTGAATTTCTAAGTTTAGTAGAGGCTCAGAAAAATATTCTCGAGGTTCGGGGAAGAATTATATTGTTTAACAGTGAAAACGAACGCTGGTTGGATCTTTCTGTTATTATTCCTCGTTGGTTTCCCATAGGGAAACTCGTTCCACGCTTCCGTTACACGGGTTAAAAAATACAAGAAAGAGAGAGAAAGAGAAGAAGAAGAGATAGAGGGAGAAAGAGAAAGAAGGAGAGAATTACTCGCTCCAGTTGAGTAGAAACCATAACTCGAGAACAAATATTATGCTAATGCGACGGAATTGCAGCGCCACGGTAGCCATTGCCACGGAACGGAAACAGAAATCGCGTTACGTTGCTGGAAATTGTAACCCATCCTGATCACCGAAGGAGAACGTGCGCGTTAGCTTTCTCTAAGGAGCACCGGGGCTCGGGCAAAAGTGTTGGTTTAGTTCGTTGTGCGAGGTGATAACCACGCGATAATGTATTCAAAAGGCCGCGCAGTGTTGTTTCTCATCCGATAGAGCAGAAAGCTAAACGAGCACGTGTCCTTTGCGTGCGAAATTGCTCCTCTTGCGAACGAGCATCGTCCTTCCGTACCATTGACTCACACGAGTTGTCAAAAACACGAATTTATATATCATTTAACATCTCTCCAAAATTGCCCAAAAGCACATGCCGTGAAAGAATTCATTACTGGAAGATGATTACGGTAAAAATATTAATTGCTGAAGGTGCTAATTGCCAGGAAGGAACGCGTTTCGAAATTCATACATCTTTCGATCCACGTCGGACGAGATTAAAGAGAAAAGAAAAAAGGGAAACCCGTGGCTACTTGTGAATTTATCGAAGTATATTAATTACTAAAAGATGTATACAGTAAAAGTATTAAATGCTTAAGGTACTAATTGCCGTGAGGAACGCGTTTCGAAATTTAAATCGCTCTGTCCGCGTCGGACGAGATTAAGGAAGAAGAGGGTAACCCACGGCTGCTTGTGAAATTATCAATGTATTAATTACTAAAGAATGTATACGGTAAAAATATTAATTGCCGAAGGTACTAATTGCCAAGATGGAACGCGTTTCGAAATTCAAATTATTAAATTCGCATCGGACGAGATTAAAAAGAAGAGAAAAAGGGGGGAAGGAAAAAGTCGCGGCTGCTTGTAAAATTGTCGACGATGGAGAAAGTAACATAACATAGCGAGGGGCAAGATCACGGAGCGTTTTATCGGCGTAATTGTCGGACTCTCGGCTTATAAACAAATTCGACGACGTATTACAGCCCCGTTTACGGTGGATTTCTAATAAAACGATAATTACAGGTCGCCATTAGACCGCGGGGACTGCCGACGGAGCGGGCGCTGCCGCGCTACGTCCGTTAGTTTTTACCCGCCGGAATACGCCTTGCACGCTTACGGCAATCATCAGTCGTCTGCTCGCTTAATCATAACGCAATAATGGGGCGCTTTATCGCGGTGCGTTAACGAGATCGTTTTTCGAAACTAACCGCGAATAATTCGCAATTTAATGCGCTTCGTATCCTGCGAGAGCGCGTGCATCGCAAGTGGGATTCTCTTGCTATTTAGCAATACTTGCATGCACGTGTGTGCGCGCGCGCGCGTGGTGATGATGTCACGCAATCGCAGCTTCCGCATCCGCTCGTTGATAATTGTTCGTCTAATATAATCGCACACGCCTTAGACTGCGGCAACGACCTACGTGTTCTCTCTCGCGATCTTAAATCTTGAGAAGGCTCGAGCATTTGACGAAGTATAAGATTAATCTATAATGCACAGATAGTACAAAAGTTAATCGAACTAATAGTGCGCAACAGAAATTTCAAGAAAGATTTCAGTTTTCCCTACAATTTACTTTCGGACGAGATTTCCCGACAATTTCTCGTTCCTCCTCAAACCGTCGTTGTAATTTGCGACTCGACCTGCCGCGTGAAATTTCTAATAGTCGACGAAATCCAACGTTTCGTCGCGAACTTGTTCGGCCGGACTCGCTTCCTGTCGAAAATAAAACAGAGGAACGAGCAATTTTCGCTGGCCGCATCGAAGAATTCCGCGGTTCGTTGCGTCCGCTCGCGGTTTCGTTCGTTTGATTCTATTAGGTTTCATTTTCCGCGCGCAGTCCCACCTGCCATTATCCGATCTGTCGACGATAACAGCCGCACGATTGCCCATGCGGTCCTCAAATTGCGTCCGCGATGCCACGGCATCGGCGCGTTAATTATCTCGCGCAGAGAATCGTCGGCAGACGCATTAAAACGATATGTCGCTTTTCGTATGTTGCAGGCCTCCATGGATCTGCCGCCGGACAAAGCGAAGCTGTTGAAGCAGTACGACAACGAGAAGAAATGGGACATCATCTGCGACCAAGTGAGTACCGTCATGCGTTCGGAATAATAATCTCAAACTAGGCGGAGAAAACTTCGCGAAAACTTACCTATAAAATGGTATCCCTTACGATTTTACTTGTGTGAAAAAGAGAAAAAATCGCGAACTTTGTTATACACACGTTTACAGGCGTTACAACATTACACGTGTAATAATCTAGCCGCAAAAATTTCGACGTCGATCTGATAAATTTCTCTTTCGCAAATAAAATGACGAAAGAGAAATAATTCACACACACATACACGCTGCTAACACGTGAAATCAGCCGAATCCGACGATCTTCGGCCGTTCCGCTCACTTTAAGCGATTCATTCGCGATGCAATCCCGATCATTTCGCAACGTTGTCCCGATGACGACGAATCCCGCTAAATCGCCGATCGTCCGTTACACGGGAGTAAAGTAGTAATTAAGTAGCCCGCGGGTAGCCATTTTTTGAAGTGAGACGTCTCGTCGAAACAGGGCCGCATGTAGCAACCCCCATCCTTGCCGGCGTAACGTGAAGCATCATCGTAATTTCATTCAGGCTGCCCGCGAGCGGACGGCCGGGCGGGTCGCAAACAATGTCCGTCGCGGAATTATCGGTCTGTCATAATTTAATGGTAGGCTACCGAGTGCAACGACGGCTACGGCGATCTCGCGAGAGCAACCTTCGCGCCGTCTCCACCGCGGCGAATTGCGCGAGTGACGTAATATCCCACTCGGAAGAAACCGTCGACGTCGACGTCGTAAGAAATTGCACGGGCTTATTTATTAATCGGCGCTTTCGCGGACCGCCTTGTTCGTCTCGTTCTCCTCGTTCCTCCCCTCCCCTCGCGCCCTCGTTATTTTTTGTCTTACCTTTACAGAGTAACACACAACCTCTGTTACGTTGGCATCTCCAACACCAAATCGATCTAGCATTCGCACTATTCGATCAAACGAACAAGCCAAAAAAGTATATACATCACAATTTAGTTAATTTTGTTAGTGACTTTGGGTAAAATTGAGTTAACAAGAACTTGACGAGCGGACTTGAGTAGTACGAATCTTAATAGTCCGATACTTGCAAAATTGCGTCTCCTACATACAGGATGTGAGTTTGCAATTTAAATGTCTGTTTTTTCTCGACCGCTTAATACACGAGCCTTAAATCTCGCCGGTTCTCCGGAATAATTACGGTCGTGATTATAAGCGAAACTAATGAGATCGAGGCATGCCGGCGCATTCTCTCCGGTAAGCGGAAACAATGTTCAATTAAAAATTCGCAGGTGTTCGGTGATACAGCGCGACGCGCTGAGTCCCGTGCGATGAAACATCGTTGTTTGCGTAACGTGTAAAATATCTCTTTCAATTTATTATCATATTTTAATTATTCTTTATAATCGCGCCAGTCTCGCTTTTTCGACGTCGCAATTTCCGTTAGCCGCGTTTAAACACCGTTTACCGCGCGAAGCACTGGCATTTTACAGTCATCTTTCGCTCGTTCCACGTCATAAATCTTCATGCACCGTGTCGCTTAATGCGTATCATTTTACACTGCATTTCTTGCGCGACAACAGTCTGGGTCTTATTTTGCACACCGTTGTACCTGAGATAGTCGCTCTGACAGAATTAATCCTACGCACACCGCAAATCCAAATAACTAGTACACACTTGTGTGTGTAAAACTACAGATTTATGCGTGCGATTTGATTTCCCGTGTGAAAATTACACACTTTTCCGCATGAGAAATAAATCCGCACGTTCAAACGTATAATTTAACACATTTCATCGTGAATAATACGGTAATTAGTAATAATGAGCTAAACGATAAGTTTATTACAAGGTACTCATTCTTCCTTTATTTTTGCTCGACGGAACACGAGAGAAAATCGCGAGTCGCGATTCCCCCGGAGGAGGACGAGGCGAGTCGCAGGTCATCGGCGGTCACCGTCTCGATATTTGAACCGGCCTGTAGGGCACATGTGTAACACGAGACGGATGTAATGCAAGCCGCGCTATTATACGATACAAGACAAAGGTCCCGCAAAAAATGCGCAGCATCCCTCTTCGCTACGGCGAGGCGCATGTATCCGCAGCGTGTTCGTTTCCCTTCTCCGAACGGACCGGAGCCGGCAAAGGCCGCGCCGCGGCTCTTCACGTGAAAGAGAGAGAGAGAGAGAGAGAGAACCTTCGAAAAGTCTCAGCCGACTGCAACGAGTCATATCTGCTAATTAGTGTGGGATAAAGCTGTGCGAGCTTTCCTCGCGCGACGCGTACTCACCGCGGTTGGGAACCGCGCGAAGAAGCGGGTGTCATTCTCGGGACGCTCGCGTGATTTTCTCTCGGCTTTCGATTACTCGCGCTGCCGCTCGTTAATTGAGGCGAAAACGTGAGACAAAGCGGCGTTCGCTCGTTCACGGGAGCGCGCCGGGGACAATGAGGGAGGAAGCCGTAGTAGAAAGAAGCGTCTCGAGAGGATATATCGATCACTCGACGCGCCTGCCTAGATAGCTCTTCTCCTACCTAAACGCAAAGTGAATAATCAAGACATACAGTTATGCATACTTCGACTTGCGCCCCTCCCCCCTCCCCCTCCGAACCCTCTAACTTTTGTCTGTGTGAACCATGTTTTTGTCAATTGCCTTGCATTTTCAAGACGTTCCACTGGAATTCCATTAAAATGGAACTTGTACAATTTGATCGCGCGGGATTTTTATCGCTCGCAAATTTCGCCGTTGCGAGAGAGCCCGGTCGATGTAGATTCGATCGAATGGACTTGCGTAAACCCAATGAATTTATCGCCGTGATGTCTTTATATTTACAGGAACGGGTACAGGCGAAGGATCCACCGGCCCACTACTTAGCGAAACTGCGCACCTACCTGGATCCCAAAGCATCACGAAGCCATCGAGTACGTTGCTTGATTTTTTTCCCAATATCGTTCTCTTTTTCGACCTTCTCTCGAGTGTCGCAACACGTCGCGCGTATTCGAAAGTGTAGTCGCAGTTCATTTTCCAAGAGAAAATCCATTCCCTTCAGTACGCCGAAGACATCAGTAACGTCATTCGTACATTCAACGTTGCATGTGTCTGTCTAATTTTCACGTTGCATATGAAGTGTCAAAATGATACGAGATCATCGATCCGCCAAACTTTTAACGTTAAATACACAGCGGAAATAACATCGATTCGCGGAATCGCTGTAATTCGACCGTGCGCGCATTCGCGTGTCTTCTTTTCCCGCTTTTTTCTTCTCGTCTCGTAATTTTAATTGCAATATCGTGTTACGATAGTAACCCGCAGGGAGTTCCATCAGACGGATACTAATGATTACACAGTCGTATCGTTTCCTTACATTCTTCCAGAAAAGGAAAATGGTTGGCGAGTCCACGTCTACTCAAGTATTACGAGACTTGGAAATATCTTTACGCACGAATCACATCGAGTAAGGGAATTCAATAATTTGTTATCGTTATTTTATCTCGAACACACGCGACCACCGTTTCGGTCATGCCGTTTCAAACACTTTACCCGAAATTCTTTCCTCGTCGATGAGAAACATTTCTCACGATCGATGTAATAATATAAATTCTACGGGATTCGTTTATTCACGATATCGAATCCTTTCGAAAGCCTGTATTCTGAGCTGAACAGTGTTGTAGATGGGTGAGAGAGTTCTTGGACGAAGAAAATCAAGGCCTGGATGCTTTGATAGACTATCTCAGCTTCAGGCTATTGATGATGCGGCATGAGCAACGGCTCTTGGAATCTCATACGAGTTCCGAGGAAAAATTACAAACCGGTAAGAAGCCGATTAGAGAGGACCAAAAAGTAAAGACGGATTCTCTCTCTTCTTTTCTCTCTCTCTCTCTCTCTCTCTCTCTCTCTCTCTCTCTCTCTCTCTCTCTCTGTCGGATCATTAGATAATTATAATAAATTAGATATGCGCTAACCTGTTAGAGACGACAACGTGTACGATACTTTCAGCCGCGAGTAATTGTAGAGTGAGAACGGATAATTACAGACGGGAAATCAAACTTCGCCATCCATAATCGCTTAATTCTTTCAATCACGCCGCGATTTCAAAATAATATCGCATCCGTCTTCTTATTCGAAGTATCTAAAGATTATTCGTTTTGCTTCTCGAGTAACAGACGTGTGATTAATTAATTGCGAGTTATCTCGACACACGTACGTGAGACATTAGAACATGTCGCAGTTGGTAAGATAACATGACTAGACGCGGTATATTCGCATTATCATACCGAAGTGACTTTTCGATGAAGCTTTTAGATAAGTGGGTAATTAATCGCGATATATTTACACAGGCAGCACCGGTGGTGATACCTCGCCGTTGAACAACGGATGCCTGAGGCCGCCTCTTCACGAGCTCAAAGACAGCCCCGGTGTCAAGAGGAGATCCAGACACGTGGCGCGCCTAAACATGGGCGAAGCTAAGGACGACATTCATGTTTGCATACTCTGCATGCGTGCCATCATGAATAACAAGGTGAGACTCGAATACGACGTGACCGGCCGTTTTTCCACGCTCGCTTCTGCATCCGAGAAGCGTGAGAAGGCAGTGGAGTCCAAAACTACGGCGAAAAATTGCTGCGACAAAAGCGCCGTGATGTGTTGTATGAACGATTCTTCAATTTAAGATTTATATTTGACACATGTATGTGAAAATAAAATTTGCTTTTATATAAGTTTTATCTTCGTACAAGATTAGATATTTTTGCTTATATATGAGAATATGAGTCTTGAATTGATACTTATTTTTTTCCTCCGTGTACATACGTTGAGGCTCATTGTTGCGTGGTTTTTTTCGCAGTATGGATTCAACATGGTTATCCAACACAGGGAAGCCATCAACTGCATCGCATTGAGCTTAATCCATAAAAGTCTGAGGTGAGTCACGTATTGTCTATTGTCTATTATTGTCCGCGTGTGTCTCGCACTGAGCCGATAGCGCTCGGGCGAAATAGCATTTCCGACTCGCGGACTCTTGACCATTTACTTTATATTCAAATCGACGCAAGCTGTCGCTTGATTGTGGCCCGACGAGTTATCGCTCGCGAGAAGTTTTACGCGTCACGTTATTTCGAGTGACCGCCTACCGCGCGCGACGATCCCACTAACGGATGTGTCGACAGTATCGTTGATATCTCGCCAGTTTTGTGGTTCTTAACAGGGCTCAGACATAATGAAAGGAATGAGGGACAAGGATTAAATATAACAGAATTATAACAGAATGAGATATTAGAAATAAAAAGAAGTCCGGGTTCCTTCAAATTAGTGTTTACCTTCAATTTCCATTTTTAGTATCTTCTAAACTGAAAATGAGATTTTAATGAAAAGCTAATGCGATGTTAGACTAATATGCAGACACATTAAACACAAATTTCAGAATCATTGACTATTTTGTTTTGAAAATACAGCGGTGTAAAGTTCATAACTTGTAGTAATACTCGAAATATTCGAATTCTTTACATTTAATTCCTCGTGCTTTATTCTTTTTATTGTGCGTGAGTCCTTCTGATGTAGCGTATCGCTAATGGAGATGCCGTTTCTTTCTCCCTTTTCAGAACGAAAGCTCTCGTGCTAGAGTTGCTTGCTGCGATCTGCCTGGTGAAGGGTGGCCATGAGATTATTTTGTCAGCGTTCGATAACTTCAAGGAAGTCTGTTGCGAGAGGAGAAGATTCACGACTCTCATGGCGTATTTCACTCAGTACGACAGCTTCCACATAGAATTCATGGTCGCTTGTATGCAATTCGTCAATATTGTCGTACACTCGGTCGAGGATATGAACTTCAGGGTGCATCTGCAGTACGAATTCACGAAGCTCGGGCTGGACGAGTATCTCGAGAAGCTCAGGCATACGGAGAGCGAAGATTTACAGGTCGGTCGAATGATTGAACCCAAGGTTGTGCCGTAGCTTTTAAGTTTACGCTTACATGGATAATTTACATATTGCCAATTCATAGATCACTTATTGTTTATCTCATATAGAGGGAAAAATGACATATATAGATATACATTATACATATGACATGACTTTATATACATATACTTAACATTGTCTACGCGTAGACGTAGGCTTTTATATTTGACGTTCAAACGCCTACCTCTGATTGAATCTGGTCTTTCCGTTGAATATCCCAAAATTAAGATCTCTTTCTCTCTTGGTTCATTCTTAATGAAGTATTTTATCTGGTTTTATACTAAAATTTTCCTCGAAAAGTACGTGATACGTGTACAACGTGTCGCGAGAAACAATTTGATTGTCCATGCGATAAGTTATCGTTACTTTTTTCATTACCCGTTTAATTCAGAAAAGCGTAGCCAAGATACGAGAGATAAAATAGAAAGGTCGTGTAATGTAAATTTTATCGCACGGCATTGTTCAACACTACCTTCATTGAAATCGTTGGAAGCATGGTGCCTGTAATATTCGGCGTGGAGTCTCACAAGTTGTTTTCTCTGCAGGTTCAGATCTCGGCTTACCTAGATAACGTGTTTGATGTGGCTGCCTTGATGGAGGACAGTGAAACTAAGACTGCGGCGTTAGAAAAAGTAGCGGAATTAGAGGACGAGCTTGGCCATGTAAGCAACGTAATATACGTCATCCCTCTTTTCGTGTTAACGCGTGAGAAGTGTTCGAAGTGTAAAAGTAGACCGAGATCCACTTTGCATGCATGAGAGATGCGTCGTCGCCGAACGATGGACTCGATCTACTTTTACCCGAAACTCTTATATATTAATTGATTAGACACATGCAATTAATTGCGTTATTGCGACACAGGCGCACGACCGAATGGCGGAGCTGGAAAGAGAGTCGCTGGCGAAACTGGCGGAATTGGAGACCGAATTGGGCGCTCTGAAAGTGGAATACGCCGACGCCTTGGAAGCGCGCAGGCTAGTGGAGGAGGAACTCACGGCTCTTAAGAGGCAGAGGCAGGACTCCGCCCGGAGGCAGAGCGTCTTGGAGAACAAGATCATCGAATTGGAGACTCTCACGGGCACGCTCACGAAAGGCTCGTCAGGTAAACTGTGGCGGCTGGTAGCCGGCAGATTTCTTCGGTTTCTGTTTCAAACCAAAATTGCTTTGCAAACATGTGTTCGGTTAAAACCTGCCACGTTGACTTTTTCTTCCGTAAGAAAGATAAAAAGAAATACCAAAAACGAGGGTGCAAATAATTCCTCCCGGAACCAAGAAATTTATCATAATCACGATGCTCCGTCGGTGTCGTCGAAGTAGTTCGCCTCCGCAATCGGCCGCGCACCGAGACCTCACGGATGCTCGATGATGTTTCAGTCGCTAGTCTACGAAACGGAACAGCGACGAGTCCTTTGAGCAACTCCGACAACGTGACGTCCTCACCGTTCACGTCCACGCCGTCGCCGACGGATCCGACACCACCGCCAGCTCCGGCACCGCCACCCCCGCCCCCACCGCCGTGTCCGCCGCCGCCTCCTATGGCGCCTCTCTCACCCGGAGATCACAAGTTACCGCCGCCTGTGCCGATACCGCCACCACCCGCTGGCATGATGCAAGCGCCCGACGGAGCGATGACTATTAAACGAAAAGTACGTATTTCTTTAATCCCGGCTATTTCATTACCGAGTGAAACAGAAGAAGATGCGATGAAGTGTGTGAAAGTTTAGATCGAGTGAAACAATCGAGACCTTCCGACTGAATAGAGAATAACGATAATCTCTCGATAGTGAAATTGAGATCGCACCGGTTAACGCTTACGGGATCACCGATTTCTAACTTGCACGAATTTTTCCATCCCCTAAGGTCCAAACAAAGTACAAACTTCCTACGCTTAATTGGATCGCTCTGAAACCTAATCAAGTGCGGGGTACCATCTTCAATGAACTGGACGACGATCGTCTGCACAACTACATCGACTTCTCCGATTTCGAGGAGCGATTCAAGATCGGAATGAGCGGCCACGTGGCGAACGGCACCAACGAGATCGACGGGCTGCAAAGCTTTCCCAGTAAACGATTTAAAAAGCCGGAGAACGTATCGCTCTTGGAGCACACGAGACTGCGAAATATTGGTAAGCGGGCTTAATCTTTGCGAAATGGCTAGTGTGAAACGCAGGGATGGTAATCGCGATCTTCGCATTCTTTTCCCAGCTATATCGCGCCGAAAGATGGAAATGCCGGTCGAGAAAGTGATAATGGCGGTGAATGCCCTGGACTTGAAGGTCCTCTCGCTCGAAAATGTGGAATTGTTACAGCGCATGGTACCTACGGACCAAGAGGTACGTCTTTACTCGAATCCGAGTGTATTGTTGTTCCCTTTTTCCTTTAATCACCTTCCGCAAACGCTGATATTGAGCTGACGATGTCTGTTCTTCTTCTCCTCCAGATAAAGGCTTACCGTGAATACATTATAGAGAAGAAGAACGTCAACTTGTTGACGGAGGAAGATAAGTTTTTGATGCAACTCGGCAAGGTGGAGAGGATACCTACCAAACTGTCAATTATGAACTACATCGGGAACTTTTTCGACAATTTACACCTCATTACGCCACAAATACATGCTGTGATATCTGCGTCCAGTTCGGTTAAGAGTTCAAAGAAGTTGAGAGCAGTATTAGAGATCATTCTTGCCTTCGGGAACTATCTAAACAGTAGCAAACGGGGCCCCGCCTACGGCTTCAAGTTACAAAGCTTAGATACATTATTGGATACGAAATCGACAGATAAAAGGATGTGCCTTTTGCATTATATCGTCGCCACCGTACGAGTCAAGTTTCCGGAGCTTATTAACTTCGAATCGGAGCTGATGTACATTGACAAGGCAGCAACAGGTATATTTTTATTACTTTATTGAGCATTTATACAAATTTTATATATATGTATATTTATTTATATAATTGTGTTATATAATAAATAATATTAAATGTATATTATATTTAATTATTTAATATATATAATATATATGTATAATAATTAATTATTTAACCCTTTGCACTCGAGGGCTCCGGAGCGGAGCCATTTCAAATTTGTCTTCAAACTCAAATGCAAATAACAAAAGCGGAATATCCTATACACAATAGTTTTTACGATTTGTCTTTGTCCTTATGTTATGAACTGAAAGTTATTTGCATTGTCTCCATAGCGGAGCCCTCGAATTTGAAGACAAATTCTAAATGGCTCCGCTCCGGAGCCCTCGAGTGCAAAGGGTTAATATATATAATATATATGTATAATAATATATTTTATATTATATACATAATAAATTATACAAATAATGTGTCATTGTGTCAATTGCAGTGTCGCTGGAGAACATAACGACCGACGTTCACGAGCTGGAGAAAGGCATGGACCTCGTGCGAAAGGAATTCGAGCTGCGCGGCAAAGAGAAGCACAATACGGTGTTGCGCGACTTCCTCAACAACTCTGAGGAAAAATTGCGTCGCTTGAAGCTCGACGCGCGCACTGCCGGCGAGGCATTCCGAGAATGCGTCGAGTTCTTCGGGGAAAGCCCGAGGCAGGCTGACGCTAACACCTTCTTCTCCCTCCTCGTCAGATTCGCAAGAGCGTTCAAGGTGCGTTGTCGCATTCTCTCCGTGAGTTCTCATCTTCACGTATGCGATAAAATGCCGTTCCTAAAACTCAGTAGGATGTAAACAAAATTTGAATTTTATACTACACGGAAATGCGGAAGTGCCATTTTAGGAAGCCGGAGTACGTCGAGGTTAAAGATGGGTAGCATGAGTGTGATTTCCTTCTCTGTCTAGTGATTCCTGATTGGTCGATGATTTTTCATGATCTTTTCTACAGACATCCGAATGTACTAATTTATTTGTGAAAGATCACATGTTACACAAGATTATATGCTTATTTCATTGTAAAGGGAGAAGACGCAATTTAGTTCAATCAAAGAGAACAGACCTTAATACGTGACGCACTTTGCAGGCTGCGGATCAAGAGAATGAACAGCGTCGCAGATTGGAGGCTGCCGCCGCAGAGGCTTTAAATGCGTCGGAAGAAGTGATAAAACGTAACAAATTAAATCAGAAGAAGCAACAGGTACGTGGCATTGCCGTTCGCGCTGTGCCCGCGCGAACTCGTATCGGGAATTGACGAGTGAAATTGGAGCTCTCTCTCTCGTGGTTTTTTCTTCCTCACATTGTTCTCGTATCTAGCATGCTATGCTTAAGATACCGAACCTAATGACGTTTCCGACGTCTTCCTCCGCGCGACTCCTCGACGCGTTTGTTATAATTCCAACTGCAGATATACGTGTGTTACTTGCGCATTTACTCTCTTACTTTTCGGCGTAAAGGATATTTTGTAGAAATTTCGCGCGCGCATTGACTGAATTGTGTTCTCTGAATTTGTTTCATTGACCTTATGCGATTTTTGTGGCAAACCGTAATATTATTTCGCGCACGTTAAACTCATTGAGACCTCGGCGGGAGAAAAGTTCGAGATTTGACGATGTTGTCCTCTACCACTCTACATCTTGACCTCTTTACTAAAACTACTTTGTAGCTGTAACAGCTAGACTCACATCGCATTCTGTTCTAAATTCATACATACACATTGCATCATCATCATCATCTACTCATACCTCTTTGAGCTTCTCTTTTACAACATCAATGCTGCGGGGGGAGGGTTTGATCTGAAATCGATATCTTTTACACAATCGCGTGAATAACTTGATTGTTAAGACTTATAAGGAAACAGAGGCATATAACAGTATCTTTGCAAATTAATCTTTCCATCTGAGACGAAAGTTTGTGATGTGTCCAACTCAATGAATTTACCTAAATGTATTGTTCATTTCACGGTACGAATTTGTTCGGTATTTCGTTACGTCAGAGAGAAATTTTGCTTTCCAAGCTATGCTTACTCTTTTCTTGATTGATTTCATGTGTTTGTTGCATGGATATGTTGTTGGTTTTCTTTTTTGTTTGTTCGTTTAAGTGGAAACTACGTATCATTTTAATAACATGACTATATATACTCTAATATACACATTCAGAAACTATTCCCTTGCAAATAATAACGAATTAAGAGGTGAAGAATCACTTGCAAATTTCACTTCCAAATTTTAATTGTGTCACTAATCACGGTATAGGGTGCAGTTTTTCATCGTTGAAAATTCTCACGTATCGATCGCAATTCATAAACTGTCTCAAGACAGATAATATTTGCATACGTCTTATGTGTGCAGCATATTGTAACATTGAAATAATATGGGAAGCGATATTTATGTACGAAACGTTTATATATATATATGTTTAAATATAGGAAGCATTTTTCTCTTGTTCTGCATGTTGTGAAATGGCATGACATGTTAAAGAAATGATCAAACGATTCTGGTTACGAGTGTCTTTCTAGCGATTCCATTTCTTGAGAACACCATACATCTCATGAACATCTGTTTTCTTATTTGTTACATATTTATTTGGATTTAAAGTCACCGAAATTTTGCTGTAACACGAACAAGAGTCTGTTACACCGCCATCTTAATGAACTGGAGCTCAGAACGTAACAATGTAGAAACAATTGACAACATGTAAGTCTGTCCTTACTCACTTCCTCCTATTGACATATTATGATTTCTAATATTCACACATATACCGCACTAGACACAACGTGTAGATCGAGTTTTGATTTCCCTCTCTCTCTTATTATTTTACGTAGACTCTAAAACAATCTCTTATTTTCGCATATTTTGCAGGTAGACTTTAGCTAAAAACAGGCAGTTGATTTTATTAAGATTTCGTTAAATTTTTACATCGTTTAATTTATATTAAACTTATACGTAAACTGTACATGTGTATGTTTAAACGTCGAAATTCTTTCAAAAATATATCAGCTATTACATAATTCACGTGTAAAAATCTCCAAAGTCAGTTGCTAATGATACTTCTAAATATGGCATATGTACACATCGTATTTAATGTCACTGATGAAAAGAAGGTTGTACTGGCATATACATATATTATTATTGGCATCTTTTGACATTACTAATGCTTCGAAATATGCATTAGCATGTTCTAATTCGCATTGATGTTGCTTGAGAGAATTCTTCTGTCATCACTCTCCTTTGCTCTATACCGCCATGAAACGTCATATATTATGGAACTGTAATCCACATAAACATAATGATTCAAGATTGGCTCGATTGGCAGATTTCCCGTATAACGCTAAGAGACTAAATTCAAACGCGCGATTCTAGTCTAGCATAGTGCGTTATTTCTACGTTGAAGTTCAAGTATTATTCTGTAACACGTTACCCTCTCTCCGTTTTTTTCATACCGCCAGGACGCCGTTATAAATGAACTGAAGAACAAGACGCGATTGGTGCAAGAGAAAAAGCTGTTGCAGCAGGACGAGGTGTATAATGGCGCCCTGGAGGATATTCTTCTCGGTCTCAGGTCCGAGCCGTACCGCCGGGCGGACGCCGTGAGACGTAGCCAACGACGGCGCATCGATAATCACAGACTCTCGCGCACTGCCGAGGAGCTTGAGCTATAATTCCCGCGCGTCTAGTGCGACGAAGTGCTTCAATTCTAGGAGAAAAAAAATGCCTTGCCACGATGAACGACGCAACGATCGATCGACAATGTTTCACTGTAACTCTCAGTTTCATTGTAACGCGAGCGGAATCGGCGAGAGAGAGAGAGAGAGAGAGAGAGAGAGAGAGAGAGAGAGAGAACACTGATAATCAATTTGATAATATCGGAAATATATTGTAAGAGATATACAGAGCACAATGTTAGACACGCTATTTGTACACTCTCCGACTTTTGGAAGCTTTTTTACGCAACGATACATAACGCGCTTCGTCACGGGGACGCGTGCAAAGATTCGCGAGGAGCCGAACGACAATATAAATTCAGTGTACGTCCAATTCGACCGTTGGACTTTTCGCGCACAAGTCATTTAGTGGTGCTTGAAGGTTCGATCGTCTGTATGCACTAGAGATTTACGCGAGTTCTAGGAAGCTGTAAATTTCGCGCTGTTAACGTGTACGACGTACGGAGCGGAGCACGCACATAATTATATTGCTCTGTATGTGTAACGTAACGTAATGATATATGATCTTTCTTCGCGTAGTGTTTAACGAGAATCTCATAGGTAAAGGAAAAAAAATCGTATAATTCCTCCTTCGATCTAGCGTAATAGCCGTATTATCGATTAATGCATTTTTCTGCATTTCTCTAGGGCAATTCTTGCGACGCCCGTCCGACACTTTGTTAACTCGAAATTCACGTATCGATCTAAGCGACTTACTACTTTTCTACTTCTCACTCTCCGTTCGACAAAGATGTGTAAACGTGAAATTATTTAAACTTAGTTGTTGTTGATTGTTATACGTATATTAAAGATATTTATAATTTTCATATCAAATGTGAATACGTTAATTTTTTCATTGAATTGTTTATATATATATATATATATACATATATATATACATCCTAGGTAATTGCTATACAAAGTGAACGAAACGTATAACCGTTTAGTAAGTTTGTGTGTGTGTATATGTGTGTGTGCGTGTGTGTGTATGTGGAATCGGTCTAGAGGCACAGTCGCAGGTTTTAACGAAATTCACGACACGGCGATATCTCCGTGACACATTCCAACGACGTGTAACGCAAGTCTGGGAACTCGTTGCACGGGAGTTACATTGCAGGTTATATCCAGCTTGAAAAAGGAAACGAAAAACAGGAACACCAGCGTTGCACAAGATTCGGAAATCAATGTCCACACTTTCGTATCGCGAATATACACGGTTGCAACAAATATATTTTCTTGCAACGGAGATAATTAAGGTCGTACGTATATTACAAAAATGATATAATTGATTACGTATATATACTATACAATAAATATTCCACATGTGTGTGTGTGTGTGTGAGACTTTTCGCGCGATCAACGTTACGGTTGAGCGCCGGTACGCGAAGTGAGATCTCTAGAGTTGCCTCGAGAATCCTCCGGGCCTTTTTTCGGAAATGGCATTTTTCTACGAAATACTTGCTACATTCCTCGAACTCACCTCACGCTCCGTCGAGAATACTTATAACGCACTAACGCAAATAACACACAATAGCATTTTTATACTGTACTTTAATAATCGACGTGTATTAAGCTATGAAACTTACAGGGAAGGATACGCGAGAGCACGTATCCACGAATCAAAAGTTCGAACGCCGATCATTGTACGATCATTCTGAAAAAAAAAAAGATGAAAGAAAATTCTTATACGCAAACTCACAGCAAAAAAGACTGCAGTTCCACGAGCCTTTCCCCGATTGACGACATATCTCAAGCTTTTCGAAGAATCAAATTATATTTTTACTTTTGTACGCGCGTTTTTGATATTAAATATTACTATATAAAGGGAAGAGAGAAAAAAAGAAATGTAAATATCGCTGTAATATATATAACACACTTAGATAATTATAAAATGTAATTACTATCGATTATAGGTGAATTGCCAATGTGATGTTTAGGTAAAATATTTCTTCTGTTGTAAGTATTACTTAGCAATATCTCGTCCATTAGCGATTCGTGACGGAGGGGGGAGAGCTACTGTCTCGCAAAACTTTAGGATTGGAGCATCAACGGTGTCTTATGTATTTTTTTTTTGCAAAAAATGTAAATAATGTGCATTTCGTTATATAAGTTATGAGAGTTAGCGGTATGCTTTACTTTGTATAAAACCAGATATATAAATGAATAAATATAATAGTACATCTCTCACTACACATACGTGTTGTCCTTCGTTTATTGCACAAGAAATTAACATACAAAGTAACACAATTGTGTAATGTTTAACAATTGGTGATACAATCCACATGTGTATGCGTGTGTGTATGTATGTGTACGTGTGTGTGAGAGAGAATTACTCGCGACGTCGAAGGTACGTCAGTGATGACACAGCAATCACGAATCATTTATATTTTCTCATGTTGTTTATTTATTGTTCATACGAATAAACTACATCGTGATAATAATTCGTATAAAATACTTTTATGTACAAATGTACAATATACAAAAAGGCACAGTATATCTACATTCTTTGTGTCATATACAATAAAATGTAAGAGATATCACAAAGTAAGGTTCGGAAATGCATAAAGCATAGTAGACTTGGTGCAGACAAGAAACCGTTACAAACGATCATCTTGTGTTGCAGTAATACCACCACGTCAAGAGAATCGAAATACGTTACTACGCGCTTCTGAACCTAACAAACTGCGACGTTTCGTTATCCTTTCGTGTATCTCCTATAATACGGTGCACATGTAGACCATTACAGCTAAAAAGTTTTGTATCACATTGCTGCAAAACACAAAGGTACGTACGTGTGATTTAAAAGATAATCATTCTGTTATATATCTCATATATATATATATATATATATATATATATATATATATAT